AAGTCAGGGGAGCCGCTCCTTGAGAACCCTCACCTGGCCTGCTCCATGCCCAACAGACCACTCACCTCCTGGGTGGCAGAGGACCTGGTGGGCTGTGTACATAAAGGCTATTGTTTACAGGTCTTAGGGTCCCCAGCAGCCTCACAAATGCCCCAGTTGGATTAGCACAAACCTCCAAGCTGCCGGGCTGCCTGTGGGGAGCTCTGGGTGGGCCAGCACCCCAGGCGGGGAGCGCCTGGGTGGGAGTGGGGGTGAGGTCACAGACCTCCATGGTCTCGCTGCGGGACCCTCTGCACATGCAACACATGACGGTAAAAAGGTCGCAGAGACAGGAGAGAAGTGACGCACACTCCAGGCGCCGTCACAGTCACAGCCGCAAGCCCTCGAAGACCCACAGCCCCCGGGCCAGTCGGCTGCCCGTAACCGCTTCAGACGCGGCCCGCAGTCGTAATCCCCATGCTCGCCATGGCCTCCAGGCCCATGCCCCACCAACTAAAGCTCAGTACGAAGTTCAACTCACTTATCATCTTTCTCGTAAATATTGAGTCCCAGGGCATCCACTCCAAGCCACAGGTCTGTTCCTTTCTTATTTTTTATCTCAAAATAGTTGATCCCGTACATTTCCAGGTCCTGGGCGATCTTCAAGTACTCCAGCATGGCGCTGTCTCTATTGGGGGGACAGACATGCATCATGGTCAGTGGGGATGTCCTGGGCGGCCTGAGGTGCAGGCAGGTCCGTGGACGGCCAACAGCCACGCGCTCCGGGGGCTGTCCCGCTGCCGCCCACACGGTGCCCAGGCGGCCCCGATCTGACCACTGGCATCGCTCACATCGAGGGAACTGGACTGGCTCACACTGGCTTCTCTGGACACAGACTCTCCTGTTCCATTCATTGCAGAATCCCACTTCTCTGCCTGCGGGCCTTCAGGGGCTCCCACCATTTGCCTCACTAGCAGCCACGGCTTAGGCTTCGAGCTATTTCCCTCCAAGGAAGCAGCGTGGCTGGGACAGGAAGCTCTAAGGAGTGGTTCTCAACCTGTGTCTTTGTTACGGGTGGGGCCACAACAATAGTAACAAAGAAACGGAATTTCTGGAGGATGAGGCCCAGAAATCAGGATTTAAAAAAGAAACCCAGGTGGTTCTAATGTGCAGCCAAGGTGAGAACCGCTGCCCTAAGGACACGTGTCTGCGAAGCTCAAACTCTAAAAGGCCTCTGAGTCTGGGACCACGCGGCCATGCCCGAGGCGAGGATTCAGGGACAGCAGAGACTGGCCATTTCCCACGCTTAACAGCAAGTGTTTCTGGCTTGGGATCAGCTGTCTGCACGTACTTTTGAAGGCAGTTGCCTCACGGACAATGAAGAACCTGGCCCCTCTGTGACCGAGGAAGACAAGCCTGATGCTTAGGAGCAGTGCCCCGCCCCCTCGACTAACGGGACGTTTTAGGAGAGAGGGAGGGGGAGAGGGGGAGAGAGAGAGAGAGAGAGAGAGAGAGAGAGAGAGAGAGTGTGTGTGTGTGTGTGTGTGTTTGGGGCTTGAAGGCTTCCACTAACCTGCCTCTGCCTCTGCCCCCAGGCGGGAACACCTGGCTGTTAGGAAACCTCACTGTAGCTGGCTGGTCACCTTCCCTGGGACGGCCCTCGCAGGCACAGGCAGACAACAGGCCGCAGGCCGCCCGCCACACTCACTTGAGCATCCCGCGGTGCTCCGCATGCCACACCTGGATCCGGTCCTCCCACTGGTCCCTGGTGAGCTTGTGCTGGTCCATGACTCTGGTGGCAGAGGAAGAAGGCACAACAGCGTCACCCCAAAGGGCAGGGCTGAGAGGTGAGTGACAGACTGTCCCCTCATGCAAACCTTCACTTTTTCTTTAAATAAAATCACCACGAAGTGCGTTTGTTTCTACTTCCTAATGTGCAATTCTACTTAGGACGAACTAAAATCTGATGATTTAGACTCGAAAGAGACAAACTCAGTCCTGCTGGGAAAAACATAAAGGACGTTTTATTTTAAGAAGCGTTTCTGCCCAAAGGGGTCATTTATTTGATCATTAGTGACTAACAACAGATTTATCGGGGGCCAAACTACTATACACCAGGAGCGGTGAGGCAGCCAGGCCATGACAACGTGATTACTTTGTAACGCCCTCGAGTAACACGCCGCCGACAGCCATGAGGACGTCCCCTCCCCGCTGCTGCTCCGCCCCCACGTCCAGGCGGATCACTGGGCCTCAGGGCGCCGCGTGCGAGGCCCGCGCCTGG